CTTGTGTTCATGTGGAAGTGCCGCTGTGGGAGAGACGTGTAGACCCATACACGAGAGGTTATCCGAACACAAAACAGCTTGCAAGGGTATGCGGATCCAACAAACAGAATTGGCCGAACACGTCACCCAAACAGGAAACCAGATAGATTGTCCTAATGCCAAACACTCAGCTGATCATGGGGACTGTACGAACCAGTAAGCGAAAGATTAGAGCTACGATATAAATCAACAAATTGAAGGAATGATTGTAGGAAGTTAAGCGTAATCTACTTGTGGCTGTTGGATAGAGAGAAACGAGAAGTACCACCGAGCAAGAGGAGGAGGCTTGATTAGGCTGGAATTTGGTTTTGACTCAACCAAAACATGAGATGCGTAAGTGGACCAAATTGGATTATAAGAAGACAGCAGGTTTGAAGCCGGCCACCTTTCTTGCCTTCGTGTTTTTGGTGAATTATCGTTAGACATGTTGTCATGCTCTGACGATGTCTGTCACATGAAGGACAAAAGCTCAGCAGAGATTGCTCGGGGTCAAAGGGCGGTGCACCGAGAATCTATTCGCACAAATCTACACCAACAGCTCCAAGGCAATCCTCCCACAGCCTCCGGTGGAACCAATTTACGAATCACTTCCACTTGCCTCTTTAAACGAAATGAAAGGTACTCCAACACTGTTCCTATCGGCTTGCACGAAAAGTAGGGTGAAAAAGATGATTAAATTGGTTAAGCCGGATTACCGAAGAGTGACTATCTCGAAATAGTGACAACTGATTTAAGCAAGATGTACTCGACGCACAATCTTCCTCTAGTGAAAGACATCGGAAGAACATATAATCATGCTTTATAATCTCCCAATGAATGGATCGGAAAAGAAAAACAATATGCGAAAACTTCTTATCTAAAATAAACAAATCAAAACAGGTCTTCGAAGTGTATTTAGATTACGGAGATTTCAAATTCAAGCATAAGAACTGGGAGTCTATACAAATTTGCAAAATAGCCAATATCCTGAATAGGAGGAATGAATGCAGAAAATCAACAGGAATTATTCGTGGCTGTTAGATAGACTTAAGAAGATGCAATAAGAGGAGGGAAAGGAAAAAATGCATAAAAGGAGGAGGCCTGTTAAGCTTCGGGTCTGATTAGGACTTA